GTTTGCAGGCAGTTAACTCCAAAGACTTGCTTGGACTGGGCTTCGAGGCTGAAAGCTGGTTTTTGGAAGAAGGTTTTAGTGGCTCTGGGCAAAGATCAAACCCCTTCTAAGGAGTCGGAACTGGATTACCAGGCCCGTACCGCCCCTCAGGGTCAACACCATCAGGATCTATCGGAACCAGGCCCACTATCAGCTCCAAAGAAATCCCTGGCAGCATGTAGTGCCTCAGAACCACTGCCACAAAAGAAAAAATCAAAGTCCAAGTATATGACTTCCCATCCCTGCTCCACCCAACTGGGAGTGGATCTGTCCTCCACCTGGTGACCTCAGACCCCTTCTCCAAATCACAGATTATAGCCATCGCCTTCGTCCAACAACAAAGTTATTGAAGTTCCTCCCCAGTCTCCTCCTGAAGCTGAAGCTCCTGCAGCTAAATGGTGTTACAGATCTTTGGAAAAACCCCTGGCCCAGCAGTATTGAGGACTGCCACCTCCGCAATGGTTCCAGTATGCACTGCCCATATACTGGCCTGTGCAGCGGGAACAACAGCTACCACCTTCTGTGGAATAGAGCTCCTGGCCATGTCATGCCCCCCCATCAGCCCCATTTGCTATGGATCCGAGTCCCTTGGAATCGGACGAGGAAAAGCCCCCGTCCTTAAGTGGTTCTGACACCTCCTTGGAACCGTCACCTAACAAATGTATCATGGACCTGTTGCCTGTTTCCCCAATGGAGGATCTCCCTCTCTACTCTGAACAACTGATCCAAATGATTGTCTTTTAGTATCAAAGTGATCTGCTTGGAACTGACTACGTCTGACCTTATTGCGAAGGTCCTTTACTCACCCAACATGGGCTCAATGGCTTTCCTGATACGACAGGGATTGCTGGACATATCCAAATCTTATCTGGACCAAGTCAGCATCCGTCTCCCTCGCTGCCAAGAAAACTGATAATACGTACAAGGTTTTAGGGGAGGACTGTGATTTCTTTTTTGCCCACCCTACTTTCAACTCCATCGTGATAGAGGTCATCCCATCCGAGCAATGCTCCTGGCCTCACTCCTCACTGTTTGACTGGGAGAGACGTAAGCTTGACGGCCTTGGCTGCAAGATCTACATATTGACGGCCCTAACTGTATGCATGGCAAACTTTAATGCAGTTATGGGGCTCTACCAAAAGTTCCTATGAGAAAGAATGGCAGTGTTCATTGATTCACTTCCAGATCACAAAACTGTTGCCAAGGTCCTACAAGCAGAGGGCTTCAGGCTGGGAAATTGGCAACTAAATTCCATTCCACATATCATGAACTCATGTGGTAGATCCATCACTTCCGCCATAGTCCTATGGTGCCACTCCTGGCTCTTCTGCACCACCCTTCCCAACGATACTAGGGTGAGAATAGAGGACCTCCCCTTTGAAGGAAGGAATCTGTTCAACTTCCAGACACACAATGTTCTAGACCGGTCTACCTGCCCAGTCCCACAAACCTTGCTACTTCCTGAGACACATAGCCCATTTGCAGTCATTGTGATCTTATTGTTACCAGACATCCTGCTCAGATTCTTCCTTGCACCCTTCATTTCAGTACTCTCAGGGCAAGAAGCAACAAGGCCACCCCTGGCAGGGTCTTGCTTCCTCTCAGGAGGCCTCTGGCAAGGATAGGCTCCAATCCTGGCTATCCCCCCAGTCTCTACCCTATTTCTCATGTTATCTCCCCATTTGGGAGTCAATTACCTCTGACACTTAAGTTCTTAGCGTTGTTTAGCAAGGATATTTCCTTCAGTTTGGAGTTCCACCAGTTGATTGTCCCCCTGATTCCTCCCCATCCATGCCATCCCAAAAGTTGCAACAGGAGGTGTTCCAGCTTTTGAATAAAGGGGCCATTGAGCCTGTTCTGTCCCATGAGACTAAAACTAGTTTTTATTCTTGTTATTTCCTAGTGGTCCTTAAATTTTGCATGATTACATTACAGGAGGCCATAAGCCTGATTTGCTCCCATGAGTTGTTTGCTATTATTGATCTTAAGGATGCCTGCATCCATATTACCATACACTCCAGATCTAGGACTTTGTTTCCAGTGCTGCTAGGCCTGCTTCCAGTATTCTGCCCTTCCCTTTGGCTTGGTCACTGCTCCCAGAGTGTTTACCAAGTTTCTGCCTGTGGTGGTCGCTCACCTATGCTTAATTGGCTGCATCATCTTCTTGGGTGATTGGTTTTTACCACGCCCTTCACTATACTAGCTGACCATGTTTCCCTAGCTTTTCCATCCTAACTTCTCTGGGCCTCCAGATTAAAATAAATCCATTTTATCAACTCAGTCTATCCTATTCCTTGGGGCCTCCTTGACTCCAATAGTAGTAAGGCTTTTCTTCCCCAGAATAGGGTAGCCTCTATATGAGCAATGGTACAGAAGTTTGCCTCTAATAGATTTTAGTCTATTAAGTCCATACAGAGAGATTCTAGGCCTCATGGCCTCCACTACTTCCCTGGTCCCCTTTGCCCCTTCAGAACTGGTTCCTCAGTTCCACCAGCATGCAATCAGACCCCCCCCCCCGGTGGAAATTGTCTATTCCTAGAGCTGTGGTCCATTCCCTAAGGTTGTGGTCATCTTGGGAGAACCTGCTGACAGGCTCCCCATTTGGGGTGACCTCCCACAATGTTCAGGTTTTCATGGATGCATTCCAGTTGGCCTGGAGGCATACTGTGGCTCTCATAGGGCTAGAGGGCATTGGTCCCCTTCTGAATCGGGCATGCATATTAATTTTGTGAAGCTCAGGGCAGTCAGATATGCTTTAATTTTTTTTTACAACCCTAGTCTCCTGCAAAATGGTGCTAATAGCCACAGGCAACACTACAACAAAGTTCTACATAAACAAGCAGGGAGATACTGGTTCCCTCTCTGTCTGTTCAGAAGCGTCTGTCATTTGGTACTGGCCCATCCAGGATGCTGTCTCTTTGTAGGCTTTCCACATCATTGGGTTACTAATGGGACACTGGGGTAGCAAATGGGACTCTCAGGAGAGGTGACACATCTACACACGAATGGTCTCTCAGGGACGATTACCTACTTCCTGTGTTCTGCCAATGGGGGCAGCCCCAGGTGGACCTGTTTATCTCTTCCTCGAATGCCAAGTGCCTCCAGTTCTGCCTGCTGGCAGGGGCAGATAACTATTCCCTAGGGGATGCCTTCCAACTGAACCCTGTCCTATGTCTCCCACCCCCAATCCCCTTGCTAGGGAGGACCCTCGCCAAGATTTGAGAGGTCAGATCCAGCTGCATTCTGATTGCACCTTTCTGGCCCAAACTGGTATGGTTCCCAACACTGTGGATTCTGTCCCTAGGTTGCCATGTATCTCTCTCTGTGATGCCAGACCAGCTCCACATGGGGCCTGTCTTTCACCACCAACATGCAGTCCCTGCACCTAACAGCCTGGTTGATACATGATCACTAGAGTGGTCGGATAGAGTGGCACGGGTGTTACTATCCTCTAGGCACCCCTCTACAAGGAAAACGTATGTGGCAAAATGGTCCAGGTTTTCCTCCTGGGCAGCTGCCCACAGCCTCCCCCCCTGAATTCCGCCCACTGACTTATGTTTTTGAATACCTACTGCACCTGAAGGATAGTGGCCTGGCTGTTGCCTCAATCAAGGTCCATCTGTCAGCCATTTCAGCCTTTCACAACCCTGTTGTGGGTTTTCTTGTTCTTTTTCAGCCCTGGTTTTCAAAACAAATTCCTCAAGGGCTTCTGTAACTTACACCCTCTGGCACCCCCTCTTGTTCCCCAGTGGAGTCTTTCAGTGGTGCTCTCTGCATTAATGTTTAAGCCTTTTGAGCCCCTTGCCACATGCAACTTGTCCTTTCTCTTCTATAAGGTAGCCTTCTTTCTGGCAATTACCTCTGCCCAAAGGGTAGGAGAGCTCAGGGCTTTCTGGTCTTCCCCGCCCTTTACCAGGTTTCATCAGAATAAGGTTATTCTCTACTCTAGTCTTGACTTCCACCCGAAGGTTTTATCCACCTTCCACATTTCCCAGGACACAGTTCTGCCAGTGTTTTTTTCCTCTCCCACATTGTACAAAGAACAAACCCTACACATGTTAAATGTTTGTTGGTCACTATTTAGACCATACTGCATCCCTGCAGAGGGAGGACAACCTGTTGGTCTGCTTTGCTGGCCCCACAAGGGCCAGGCAGCCTCCATCCAAACCATCTCACACTGGGTTGTCAAAGCCACCCAACTGGCATACTCTGCCTTCAAGATCGATTGCCCACTCCATCTCAGGGCTCACTTGGCCAGGTCTCAGTCTTCCTTGGCAAGGTCTCCTTGGACAGCATCTGCAAGGCAGCCACCTGGTCCTCTCTGTCGATGTTCATCAATTGCTATGCAGTCGATATCAATTCCAGACAGGATGCAGCCGTGGGGGAAGCTGTTCTTCAGTCCTTATTTTGCTGAGGATTGTGCTCCCACCTTCTGCTGGTAAATCGCCTTGCTAAACTGCCATGTGGGACTGCACAGAAGCCACGAAGTTGAAAACAAGATTGCATTTACCTGTAACTTTGTTCATTGAGTGGACTTCTGTGCAGGCACACATCTCTCCTTCCTTTCCCTCTTGTGGGATCCTCACGCTCTTGAGGTCCTTCCATGGTGGTGAGAAGGGACTGAGGGAAATTGCCTTGCCCAGTCACGTGTCAGCTGGGTGGAAAGGAGCTGGCCTGTGAGTGGAGGAGGCTGAGTGTTCCAAACATTCTAGAGAGCTTTGGTAAGAGATCTCAGTGGCAGGCCTGCACAAGCGTAGTCCCATGTGTGCTTGCGCAGAAGACCACTTGATGAAAAACAGTTACAGGTAAGTGCAACCTTGTTTTCTATATCTAAACTGTTGGAACAAGCAATCTGATTTTTCACAGACAATACCTACCATTCTCTTGACTCTATAAGAGCACTTGCTCAAAGTTTTATTGAATATAGTGTGATCTTTATTTTTTTCCATCCTCTTTTACAGGAGACATGGAATGTGGTTTCGATTGCGGAAGCTAGTAATCTGGTTGTTGGGAGTATACATAGCCATTCCATTTATAGTAAAACTTTGTCCTGGTGTTCAGGCAAAGCTCATCTTCCTAAATTTTGGTAAGATTCATGTTTTTGTTTTGCTTTGCCTTGAAATCGTGTGGAAACTTAATATATGGGTTTTAAAGAACAAAGGGCACTTCTGTTAATTTTTCCTCCTCCAC